CAGAAGGTGTGTCGATATAGAACGCGGTACGTGCGTTATCCGTACCTGGGCTGACTTTAAAAGAGAGCTGAAGAGACAGTTCTACCCAGAGAATGTGGAATACCTCGCTCGTCGCAAGATGAAGACTTTCAAGCACGGTGACTTCCTCCATGACTATGTCAAAGAGTTTTCAGCCCTCACATTAGAAGTCACCGATATGTCAGACAAGGACTTATTGTTCAACTTCATGGATGGTCTAAAGCCTTGGGCCGAGCTTGAGCTCCAACGACGCAATGTTCAGGACCTTGCCTCTGCCATGGCCGTGGCCAAACAACTTAGTGAACAGAGATTGTCGGATGACGAAGGAAGCAGACCAGCCAGCCTGCGTACCACACATTTGAGTGGGGGAGATGGACAACCCARTCCTCCGAAAGAGAAGCCACCCTTCAGCCACAAACCAGTCGAGCACCACAAGGGGAAGCAGCCACAAGGAAGTCAAAGCTACTACAACAACATATATCAAGGGAGACCAAGCCGTCCTCCCATTTGCTACATTTGTGGGGAGGAACACTTCACTAGGAATTGCCCAAAGCGAGCAAAGCTGAATGCCCTCATTGCCAAGCTAAGTGATGATGAGCAGAGTGATGGGGAACGGAGTACCCCGGCGCCAAGAGTGGGTGTCCTCCAACTTTTCAATGCCATGATGAAGAAAGGGGCTACCTCCAAATAGCCCTCCTCAGTCAGAAGAGGACTGAGGTATGTTGATGTAACCATTGGCGGGAGGCCAACTAGGGCCCTAGTTGACACAGGGGCCACTCACAACTTCATATCCATTGCAGAGGCCAAGAGACTTAACTTGGCCATTTCCAAAGAGCTTGGCTGGCTCAAAGCAGTTAACACCGGTGCCAAACCTACTAAAGGCATGGCCCACCGAGTAAGACTACAACTCGGCACCTGGGATTGAGAGATTGACCTCTCTGTCGTCCACATAGATGATTTTGATGTTGTCCTTGGAATGGACTTCATGATACAGGCAAAAGCAGCACCTCTCTGCCTTACAATTCCAACACCACCCTCCACCATTGTTGGCAGAGAGATCTACAACAACCACCATTGCAACCAGAAGTGATCATAGCAACTCCGGGAAGCAGTCAGCGCTAGTGCCAATGCCAACGTCAGTACCAGTTCCGCCACAACAACAGAAGCGGTAGCCAACTTTGCAGCAGAAGTCGCACACACCCACAACTGGTGGGCCCAACAGAAGACCCAAGACCGTGTCAAACTTTGTCCACACCTACTACCACAACCACTGGAGAGAGCGAGTGCCACCCGAGCCATTTAGGGGCCACATTCATATCATCCCTCAAGATAAATCCCATAGTAGCATTGCGAGTCACCCTTGGGGAAAAATGCATGGGAACCAACACCCTAACAATCCAAAATATCATTTTGACTTAGCCTTGGCCACCAACTTTCCTACCACCATTAGGAACAAGTCAAAATCCTACCTTGAAGCAGCCAAGCAGGGGCTTAACTTAGGGACTAGCCATAGGTTTTCCCACCATCAAGAACATCAACTAGCAATCTACCCAACCTACTATCTGGTCCTTGGAAGAAACCCGGTTCGTGGAGCAGTCGAAGAACCTTCTTTCACCAACAACAAGTTCAGGCCTCAAGCAGAAACTAGTCTTCGAGGACGAAGACTGAATTGAGTGGGGGAGATTGTAACAAGTGTTCTCTTCGCCGCGCCATCAAGTGCCATCCACCGTGCCTACAGCCGCCACTCCAGTGTCCAAGTGTGTGTCATGGGTGGGCTAAACATGTACTTTTGTATGGGGGACTGCCAATGGCATTATTGTAATATTGTAGTACACTTTTTCATCTTTTTGATGTTTCTTATTGTCACTCCCCCAAAAGTTTAATGTACTCTTTGAGGGGAGGTAGGTAGTCGAGTGAGCTCATTAGTGTGTAAAGGTTAAGTATGAGATCCCCTCGACACTGTATTGTGTGCTTGTGCTTGCCACTGATTATTGCAATACAAATAGCCTTTTGCTAATTCGTGTTCCATCTTGTTGCCTTTTTGTGTATGTTTGCTTTGTTGCGTAGGCTTATTCGCCCCTTTCGAGTGCCGCACGGGGCCCCAACGATTATCCCGTGACACCCTTTCGTAATTCACCCACCGGAGATAAACTCTTTTGAGTTCCATTGGCCGATGTCGACGGCCATACAAACGGAGAGAGAGAGAGAGTATTAAGAATTGTTGTTGTAAAATCAATAATAATTTGATAATTTCACAGTAGAAACAATTCAATGTAGATGATTTAATAGATACAAAAGAAATTTAAGAAAAAAATTACGGATGATGAATACGAACAAAATTAATGAACCCAAGTAATTAATTTCTTTTATTTTTTTTCTTGGGTCTTACTCTTTATTTTCGTAAGTTTGAATTAAACCCTCAACTCCATGAATATGGAGTGGTGGTCGCAGGTCGCCACCTCAATCAGCACGCTTTGAGAGTGGCCTCTGCATGTTCCTGCACTACCTTCCATGCCAAGTTCACATGGCGGTCCTCCATAAGGCTTGCACCAACAGCGAACCTGATCATGTAAACACCCCCAACCACCGCATGCGTCATGTATATGCGCCCAGCCGAGTTGATCGACTCCAGAACTTACGGTTGATCTCGTTTGCACGTTCCAACTCCAACAATTGCCTGAGCGTCTCATCCTCATGATCCTTCACCGGCGGCGGTAGCAGTCGGAAGCATACAATCGCGAAATTCCTTGGCACCACAATCTCAAACCTCTTAGGTTGGCCACACCATAGCTCCGAAGCACAATCCAGAGCTTCATGGCTTGGAATCGACAACTAAGGGCTATTTGCCAGTCTTTGTAGTTTATCACTTGCTTTGATTCAGTAGCTTTGTTCCTCAAATACTCGAGACTGGTTTACAGGGTTTTAACAAGAGCGCTAGGGTCCTTGACCCAAAGGTAGCAACAATCGAGAGTGGTGAAGAACCACTTGTGTGCATTGAAACCGAACGAGTCTGCATCCTCTACCCCATCAATGAAGTGTTTGAACTCAGGACATATGCATGCACTTCCGGCGTATGTTGCGTCGATGTGAACCCAAACTCCATACTCTTTGGCCACTGCGCATAGAGGAGCAATTGGGTCGACGGTTGTTGACGATGTAGTACCGACAGGAGCATAGAGGAATAATGGGATGAGCCCAGCTTGTATATCTTCTTGGATTGCAGACTGAAGAGACTCGAGGGCCAGCCCGAATGAGGTGACCTTACTCGTTGCAACGGCACAGAAGTTGTTTGGAAAGATCCCTGCAATCTGGGCAGCTTTCTGGAGTGCACAGTGGGTCTGATCTGATTCATAAACCACCAACTTCCCTATGTTCTCCCTACCAATTCTGTTCAACATCCGATCTTTGGCTACCATGAGAGTGCACAGGATGGCTTCGCAGGCAGTCCCTTGTAGCACACCACCACCGTTTCCAGAGAAGAGGAAAGACTTGGGGAGCTTAAGCATCTTGCCAAGCCAATCCAATCCATGACTATGCACTCCAACTCTGTGGCCTTCGGCGATGACATCCAGTTGAACCCAACGACATTAAATCCAGTGCTAAGCATTTCGCCGAGAACCCCCCAAAACGTCCCACGAAACCTAGGCGTGACGCGTGTTATGACACACGCGCACTAGGATGACTCGTGCGGTCGTTTGTATCACATCCTTTGATTCTTTCTCGCCCAAAAGGGTTTCTTCTCCCATTCTGGCTATTCTTTCTCTTATTCTACTGTGAACTGAAACCTTTGGCGCCCCCTTTCGTAACCCACCCACCGGAGATAAACTCTTTCGAGTTCCACCGGCCGATGTCGACGGCCATACAAACGACAAAAAGGTAAGTATTCTGTAATGGAGGGAAGTAAGCGTCGCTGGTTTTCTCGGCCCCCCCTAACTACTATGCTTGCGAACCCCAAGAAAGTGGAGTCTTTATCACTGACTCCATAGTATATGGGGTTCTTATAATTTACCCCTTTTTTTAGTGAATTCAATTCAATTTCCCTCGTATTGATCAAATTAAAACGTTGTCATCCGTTGTCGTCCATAGTATATGGGGTTCTGGACTTTTGACTTTTGTTTATGTTTCTTTTTTGGGAATGTTTTTTTTAATGGATTCAATTTCTTATTGAAATAATAAATCGATATAATTGATCTCTTAACCGTTGTCGTCCAGCGGTTAAAGATGGCTGGCTTTCACCCAGGAGACCCAGGTTCAGTTGACGGCAACGGAATTTCACATTTTAGCTTTAGTCTGGTATATTTAGTCCTTGAAGTACATCGATCGGATAAGAAGTATGTGGTCCGTTGTCGTTCAGCCGTTAGGATGTCTGGCTTTCACCCAGGAGACCCGGGTTCGATTCCCGGCAACGTAAGCTTTTAAAGTTTTGGCTTTCTCAAGCTTGAATCCCTTTTGAATTAATACTGTACATAGATTGCTTGATCGGATTGGACGTGTGTGGAACGTTGTCGTCCAGCGGTTAGGATGTCTGGCTTTCAGCCAGGAGACCCGGGTTCGATTACCGGCAACGGAAGCTTTTAAAGTTTTTGACTTTCTCAAGCCTGAATCCCTTTTGAAGTGATACTACTGTACATAGATTGTTTGATCGGATTAGAGGATCTGGGTTCTATTTCGGGCAACAAAAATTCGATTTTTTGGCTTTTACCTGCTTTTCGCATGTTTAAAGCTATGTTTGGTTTGAAGGGAAAGGTAGGGAAACTTATACAATTCCTCCAAACCAAACACAGCCTAAGGGCGCCCAATTCCTTTTGAAACCATAGATTGATTAGACTTTTCAAAAGCCATGGATTGATCAGATCAGTGTTACATAATTTGAACTCTCTATGTAGGCCCATTCTGTCTCTGATTATAGCTCCATTAGAGCAGCAGATTTAAGTAGAACCCCTTTCTCATCTTTCCGTTAGTGCTCCATAACAAATCGACAATTACGGAATCTATCATCTTCAAAAGCTTTAATTTATTGCCTTCTACCTTACAATTTATCATAAAAACTGGGAATTACAAATTACTTCTTCAGAGTTCAGAGGAGAATGTAGATACACGCTTACCTAGTACAGAGAGAGTACAAAGCCGGCCCAGGCCCAGGCCCACCCACTAAAGAGTCCAAGACTAAAAAAGGCCAGAGAGAGAGAGAGAGAGGACTAGTTACAGAGTTCACGAGCAATTCCCAAGCGGGAATTAGGGACATCAAAGAGAACCCTAAGGTTCTGCTGCTGCAGGTTAGCTATGACGTTCAACACCGTGTTCACATTATTCGGAGCTGCTGCCATGGCCAGGCACGTCAGCGACCCGGCGCTGCTGTGTATCAATGTGTTCTCCGTCGGCAGAGTCAAGTCCATCCCCGTAAAATGCAATGTCACCGCCGGCTTTTCGGCTTCATATGTCGTCTTAAAACAAGTATCAAATGCCCCGAGGGACGATATGGGTGCATTTATTTGTTTCCGGAATTCATCTCGAATGGCCGTGTACACGGGTTGTACAAATCGGGTTATAACCGTACCCGAGTCAATTATGGTGCCTGCCCCGGTGTTTGGATCAAATGCCAGAAGCTCCGGCGCCACCGGGACCAGAACCTTACCTACACTGATTCCGGTGAGATTGACGTAGTATAATGATGGCCTGTGTGGGTTACGGAGAAGGGGTGTGGTCCTGATGCTCTTCGGCTGACCCACTGGGCCTAGTTTCAATGAACCTGAGAAATAGTAGGACTTGAAGCTGGGAAAGCAGTAGGAGAATACACCCGAGTACAGTGACTGAGTTTGTGAGAGCAATGACATGGACCCACGCCCCAGGCCCAGTAAGCCTTGAGGTGGAACTGACCCACCAGAAACGGCATTGATGCATCCAAAAGCGAAGTTGGGCACAACGTCCGTTGCCAGACTCAGCGAGTCTTGGGAGAGCGTAGCGGAGAAGGAGGAATCGCCGCCGTAGGTCTGGTTAAAGAGGCATGGGCTGGAATCGGCGGTGGGACAAGACATGCCTCGGACCTGAGCACATTCCGGCATCTTGCAGTCCATGGACCCGAACGTGGAAGATGTGTTGGGGGTGAAGACGGTGTTGGAGCAGCCGCTACAGCCGGAGCATGGTACCCAGGCAGCGTCGTTGCTGGTGTCGATGACCATGAACATGACCTGACCCGGGGTGCCGATTTTGACTCGGACCACATAGTTGCCGATGTTCATGGCTTGCTGACCCGAAGCAATGGGGACCGAGGTGGCCTTGCGTGACACTAGACTGGATAGGTAGGTGACTCGCTCCGGGTCCTTGGTAGCCATGTTGATGACCGTGTCGACCCAGGACTCGCGCTTGGGTGTGGAGAATGGCGAACATTTGCCGTAGATGTGGAAGACCGAAAGTTCCGAGTCGGCCGACGGGGAAGAGGAGGAAGAACAGGGGTCGAAGGCGTGGGTTGCCGAGAAAAGAAGAAGAGAGAGGAGGAACGATGAGGATAGAGTGGATAAAGCCATGACCATGATTCGGAGACAACCCGGGTTATATCGGATTTGGAATTTGGGAGGTGGGATAAACGATTATATAAGAAACCTGTTGTGGCCTAAGTTACGGTAATACCCCTTGCATTATTTTTACGTACCCGAAAAGAACAAACGGGTTTCCTCAATTTGGGGAATTTTGGAGGGAAGCATTGGCGTTTTGGTGATGGCTCGATATTCCGAGTCCGGATCTCCTGCCCCCACAAACCTTACCTACATAACATCACAGTCACACATAGAGAACATCTCATCCTCCTACATAATATTATACAGAGGGAGATGTTCCTAATTCACGGGAATAATGTGTTATGGGTAAACGTGGGCAGAGTTATCATGGGTAAGAGGTCCAGAGTTCGATAATCCATAGGTGGGAGATTCACCAAGAATGTGGCACATGATTAACAGTTTCACATTGGAGTCTGGATATGCTCCTCAGAATGTGCGCCTCACAGCATGTTCTCGCTGTGCATCGGGAACATCTCTCGTCCTTGAATTTATTATTGATGGGGAGATGTTCCCAAGGTGGGATGTGGCTCCCAATTCCTCACATTGCCGGTAAATAGTCACCATGTCCGCGATATACAATAAAAAAATCTCAGCCGATGTCTTGGTCTCAATGGAATTCACATCAGCGCCCCACATGCCACAATACCCCACAACACATCCCATCTGTGTATTGGAAACATCTCCCAACAACAGGTATGGGAGATGTTTTGAATGCATGTTGAGATGTGCTTGTGGGACGCTAATGTGATCTCGTCTCATTGGTCTCACAGTGGGGGTAGCCCATCCCCCAATAGGCGGGATTCGATCTCAAATCTCCGCTACGACCGGCATGAGGCCTTACCAATCGGCTGGTTGGTTGGCACCTTGCTGATCGTTTCATTGGTCTAGTACAATACAAACATATGATAAATTTGAAGTCACCCTTCTTCAAATGAATTCACATTTGCATTCCATTCAACGCACCCCACACATGCGTCTGGGTGTGCATTTGAAACATCTCTCATACTTGTCATTGGGAAATGTTCTCAATACATGGTTCGGATGTGCTGTAGGGAGCCTATGGGATGCACTCTGTGGGGCACAGATGTTATCTCTCTTCAAATAGTTTAGATTCACCCCCCACAGAGTGTGGAGGTCAGATTAGCAGCCCATAACACCTTCCACCCGTGTATTGGGAACATCTCCCCATTATAAGTATGGAAAATGTTTCGAATACACACTGAGATGTGCGTGTGGGGTGCCAATGTGATCTCCAAAGTGCACCCCACATGCACATCTCCCGTACTTGTCACAGGGAGATATTCCCAATACATGGTTGGGATGGGTTGTGGGGCGCCAATGCGAATTCTTCTTCAATGAGGCATGTTATATGGGACACCAATGCAAATTCTTCTTGAAAGCAAAAGGCTACAAGTGCACAACCAAACTCATCATTCCAAGTCTCCCCTCTGATATAAAAAAACAACGAAAATGCCACCACATCATGGACGAATCCTCCGGTATAGTCATTTCTGATTCCACTTCACCAAAAATTCTTTAACCCTTACAGTCCATTTGGTTGCTACGACTGGGATGGGTAAATGAGAATATTCTCATAGATTCTTATTTTCAAGTGTTTGGTTGCCACGATGGAATGAGAATTCGTGGGATGTGAGTTCCCAAAACTTGGGATGCGGGGTCAAGTTGAAATTGTACGACCTCACTATTGGAAAAAAAATTATTGGGCTCTCTTGACTAAGGCTAGAGCATCTTCTCATTGCCTCCCTACCTCAACCGTTCGGCTTCAGTCAGGGCAAAGCCAGTTCGAGCACCTTTTACTGCCTTGCATTGAGAGTATCTCCATGCTTGTATCCTTTATTTTATGAGGAGATATTCCTAATGCAAGGGTGAAAATGGTTGTTAGAACGGTGTAGGTACAGCTTTGCCCTAATAGAAGCCGATCTCCTACCTCAAGAACAATTGAATCTCTAGCAACGTTTCAATCAATATCCGATCAAGGTAAGACTAGATCTATAACCCCCAAACCCCGGCGATTTATTTCTTCCCATTTTTCGTGCTTTCTCCCTCTCTTCATGTTAGTGGTAAGACATGATTGTTTGTCAGGAATTTACTTCACATGGATGGAATGCGTTTGTGTTTAGGCAAAATATTATGTTGTGTTCAAAGACCGTCAACTAAAAATTTACTTCACATGGGCAAAATGTAATGTCCAGGTGCATAGATTTAATGGAGTAATTTTTTGCTCTTATAACACCTATGAAGAAACAATATTTCAGTTACCCCAACACCCAATAGTTGGAAATACCTCTAGGACCCATGGAAACGGTATTTACACAAAGGTGAACAAGTCAAAAGAACCCCATTCACAACAATGGTAATTTTTGTTTCGATAGTCAGTTTGGTGTTTATATCACTTTTGTACTTGTTTGAATGACAATTGCAGTTGTTTACTTGCAAGAAATGTAGGGGAACTTTACTTGCAAGAAATGTAGGGGAACTACTTATGACATTTGTGTTAAATGATTTTGCAATTGTAGGAAATTTTATGCCTATTAACTTAATACTATGAATAGGTCAAGTTTTCAATATTCAGGGCTTTTTAAGTTTGCCATGTTAGCATGCCATGTGGGAAGTTTTGATCAATAATATGCCATGTCAATATGCCACATGGCAAGTTTCGATTAATAATATTCAAGGTTTTGAGGTTTGTATTGTGGAGTCAGAGAATGTATAAATTTATCAAAGGAGAATGAAATCAAGCATCTTGCAAATTTTCTTAGCAATCAAACACTAGAAAACAAATTTTGTAGGGTAATTGGTCTCGCCAACCAAACATAGGTTGCCAAAATGAAAAAATAAATTTTCTTTTCTCATCTCATCTTTTCTTACCCCATCCTTTCTCATCTGATTCCTTCTTAGCAGCCAAAGAGAGCATTAGGTCCCGTTTGTTTAACCTAATGGGGAAAATTGGTCAATGGAACTGTGGTTTCATTGACCAATATATTGACTTTTTTTATTCATGTGGGACCTACCATAAAGATTTTGTCCCTAGGTATCATTTAACCTAGTAAGTAATACCCTTTTTTACTTGAGAAAGTTGAGTTTCCCGAGTGGAGAGTAAATGCTAAAAATCCAAACGATCAAAAATACCTACAGTTAGGACTCAAGAGTTTTTCCTCTCCTTGCAACCTCATTGGGCCCAAAGGGTAAAAATGGAAAAATATTAAAAATTAGCAACTTACCCAGGAAAGTGATTGAGGCAAAAGAACATGAAAAATCTGAAGAGCATCATTTACCTAGGTAAATTTTAACAAAAATGAAAAAAAGAAAATGGGTAAGTGGCCTCCCTAATCCTACTACTTTGGGTGTTTCGACTTTTTTTTTTATCTTTTCTTGTGTATTTTAGTGAAATACATTGTTTTTTTATTTTCAGTGATATGAAATGAAAAATGATGCATGTTATATATGTGTTTTGTTCTACAATTGTTTGTATGAATATGTACGATTTTTTTTCTCATTTTTGTTGAATATTACACAAATAATATGTAATTATTTGAATTCATTTTGTTATGTTATTGCATATTCTGAATTTTGCTTCATTTTTTTGGAACTTTAATGTGAATAAAATATGTTCCTGCATATTGTTGTTGAATATTACACACATTTTTGTGTTTGCTGATTTTTAATATGAATATTGTGATTACATTTTTGTTGATTTTTGTGATGTGTTTTACACTTTTTTATTAATCTGAAATTTCAGTTATTTCTTTATTAGTAATATGAATTAGAATTATTATCCTATTTTTTGGTAAATTTCTCTTTGCATTTTTGTGATGTGTCTATTATTATTATTATTTGGGTCCTCATGGCACTCCACATTGGCTCTCATGTGTCATGATGTGGTGATGTGGTGATTTTTTATTGAAATGTATAATATAATATATTAATATGTTAAAAGCATTGTTTATATGTATAAGTGAAGTTGAAGAATGGTGATTTGGCATGACTTAGTGAGAAGGGTTCACGTGGACGCGATCTGCTCGAGGGGTGACAATTCAGCCAAAGGAACTCAGTTCGCAACATTCAGATCTCGGATATTCAGTCACCTCGGCCCAAAAGCCACTTCGGCGTAGAGACACCTTGACACCGAATCCAGTTCTGGACTAAAGAACCGAAGTACTAGTTCGGAGCTAAAGAGCCGAAGTACTAGTTCGGAGCTAAAGAGCCGAAACACCACATAATCGACTCCAAAGGCCTCCCCAACGGATCTAGAATTTCTCGGGATCACGACGAGACTCATCCTAGCTCCTCTTGAATTGGAGGAAAACGATAAACCTTATCAACTAACGCATTGCTCTTCTTCAAAATCGGAACAGATCTTATCTACATAACCCGGAGATCCTGGAGGTCTTTCGTAAGGTCCACGACTACTCCACTATATAAAGACATTAAACCCCAATGCAATAGTACGTGTGATTATTTACTCACTAGCATTCAAGAATTCAAGTATTCAACTTGCATCCACAGTATAAAACTGACTTAAGCATCAGAGCGACCTTACCGCCACTCCGGGTTCTCTGATCTATTATTTTGCAGTTTGGTCCAACTCGCCGCGCAACTGGAGTTCGAATCATCTTCCAGCTAGGAGTATGTAGATTGCACACCATCAGAAGTGAGGGCTAAAATTGTCATTTATGACAACATAAGCACTTGTGGGGAAAATAACTCACCAAACATCTCCACCCTAATAAATGATTTGGCAAATGGATCACTAAACAATCTTAAATGGTTGTTAAAATAAGTACTTACAATAAACACTTGTGCTAACAACCATTTATTCACCAAACATAGCACTAATTGGCACCAAATGATATAAAATGCCTATTTAGAGGGTTTTCAAGAAGTGGCTTTTAATGCTGCATAATCCATGAAAGCTAAAAAGTCATAAACCCTATTTGATAAAAATCTAAAAGCCGAAAACAAATTTACATGAACCCAATAATCAACTTCTCAAAAGCT